AGGACCCACTCGTCCCTTCATATGTTCCTCTATTTAATTCAGATGAACGTAATGTCTGATTGGTCACTGAAAGCACGTAAGAACAATTTCTAACCAGGTAATCCACGGACTAAATTTTGCATACATTGGATCTAGGAGCACTACGACTGCTGATGAATCATCTGTTATGATTGCGGTTCAGTGTAGCGGTTTTTACTATTAACGTTTAATAGACAGGCATGACTGCAGGGTTAAACATGATCGCGTCGTGCGAAAAGCAAATATTGGATTGCTAGGAGTCAGCCTAACCAACTGTCCGCATAACCTTGTTGGCTGTCCTGAAGAATCCCTCCTGTGGCAGACAGCCAACAATGATTCATTGCAAGCGGCCTCAAATACATGTGTCTGCAATGGTGACTGTCCGCACTCGATGGCCTTTAACGGCTGGACGGATATTCACTAGCATGCGCACACATTCGCACACGAGAGCGCGCCACCCCTCGGCCACGCAACAGATGACCTCAGAAATCGACACCCCCGAGTAATCCAACCCACCAATCATGCATCACTTGAACTCGCTTGACACCCACTGAGAAGCAACTGTCACACATCACACAGGGAGTCCGAGATTTATTTTCGGCACCCTGTCTCATTACCGGCCATTCGCGTCCGGATAAATCTTCCGGTTTCTCCTAGGTAGTTGTTTTGTACACAACTGCACCAGATCCGGTAAACGAGTCCAGCCGTTTCCTGCCGCGGCTGTGGGTCGTTCGGCCTCATGACCCGGCGTCTGATGGTTGCTTCTGGCCTGTGCGCACTCCAACTCCGAGTAGGGTGAGCAGGCGGCCGACCGCTTCCGATACATTGTCCACGTACGGAAGAGCTCTCAAAAAGTTTGGGACAGTTGGATGTGTCTTCTTCTCTCGTTTGCGTATGCATTGGTTGACAAATTTGCAAACGCAAACGAGAACAAAGCCCACATCCAACTGGTCCGAAAGTTTGGCCAGTTCTTACGTACGTGAATAATGTATCGGAAGCGGTTAGCCGCCTACTCACCCCATTTGGGGTTGAGTCCAGTATTTATTTCCATCACCCTGCGTTCCATTACATGGGTGAATCAGCGAGCGTATTTGTTTTTCGAAAGCATCTTTAATACTGTTAGCAAGCACGCTGAGGAATTAGACATATGCGAATCTTGGTACTGGCAAGTAGCCAATTAAGCGTCTACAGATCATGGTTGCACGTCCGGGAGTAGATACAGGCTTACATTATGGAGGTAGTAATAGGCTTAGAGATGACAATTTGGATAGGAATATCTTCGAAATCACGCGCTGTGAGGCCCCCAGGCTACTCAAATTGTGAAAAAAGAGATAGCGTAAGGACCTAAGTGGGAATTCTAGACTGCAAAAAGTAAATGAATATTATAAGGCAGTAACTCATCACACGTGCTCGGCTGTTCAGACTCCTCATTACACGGCAGTACCGTGATAACCCAATCAAGTACAGTATGGCGAGGGCTGTAGGCAAAAGTTATGACGAAAATTGACTTGCATATCCTTAATCACGTCATTTTGATCCACTGAGTGGACGTAAATTCTGAGAAAACCTCCTAATAGGGAAAACTGTCGGTTTGTTCAGGTTATTTAAAGTAATATGCATTAATCTTTGTTAAATCAGGCCTAGTCTGATATCGAAGCTTAAAACATAGTCCTTCCAGAACCGGACAATTTAGTCTAACGTTTCTCAAATGCTAGTGAGGCCCAGTTTAAGGAATCGCATTTATTTTCAAAACCAATGAACAATTTCAGTTTCATGGATTATTATTTGCTAATATGTGAAGTCTTTTGTTGCACGATGTCATAATAAACATGTTTGACGGCGGTTTGTTGTACCGCATCATTTAGTTGTCACGTAACCAAAACCACCTATATATTGTGGCTAAGCTGAGTCTAAAACCAAATCATATAAAATCTAAATCATGATACTGATAAGTGCATGCCAGTATGCGAGGAATTATCAATCTCTCATACACTTCGACATTTTGCATGCAGCGCTTGTCATGCTGTAGGAGTATTCTGTTGCATTTTTTAAGCCTGACTGAGTGATTGCGTTTGAATCCGGAGCCAATCAGCGCGGCGTCCGGTGTATCAGTGCAAGCCCATAAATTCTTTAATCATAGAAATCAAGGCGTTTAACGAGGATCCGCCATATTCGCACCAAACTGCCACTTCCTTGTACGCCGTCCTAAATGAGAGAGGCGTGTTAAAAGCACCATAAATTACTGGTTCAAAAGTGCACCAAAATCAACTGACCTTGTAAATTCAAGGAAATGTCCCGAGGAATGCTTAAGCGATTTTTGTCCAATTTCCATATTCGAGCCAGAAGCTTTTCCAACTCCGGATATCTACACATAGGTTGAAAGTATTATTAGTGGGTTCGAATAAACGCACTTCTTTGCGAAAACAAGGTACAGCTATGCAGTAAATTTTTGAGACTGGTTCCTCAGTTCGTTTTCAGACTAAAGAGAATATGCAACGAACAATTAATTTTCAAAAAATTCCACAGACAGCTAGAGTGAGCGCTGTTTGGCAGCTGTAGTTTATGTCAGTCTGCATGGCTCGGCTGTCGTATTGTCCATCGTTATTTAAGATGTTTGTTCCCTCCATCTAACTCTATATGTCAGTTTATGTATGAGTTCTCGGAGTGCATGGCCTCAGGCAATTATCGGCCTTTTTGGAGAGGTAAACTCCGATGATGCATGTTTTATGCCATCTGGAGCTACGTCTTGTATCAAGGCTATGCATAGTCACTTCGGTTAAATGGTCACTTCTCTTTATAGTTAGTTGATGCGTGTGGATACGGACATTCCTGTTTGGCCAACGTATACGAGATAACACTCTCCGTTTTTTTCTTATTGAGATAGCCAACCCCATCCTGAGGGTGTACAAGCTAGGCACGTAAAGTAGTCGTCTGTTTGTGCACCACTTTTATTTTGCATTTCCTCGAGTGCCTTTCAATGAGTTCAGACACAGCCCTCATATAAGGAAGGATTAGCCATGCATTTGTTTGTGGCGCCTGAGGAAAACTATCTTTTTTCCTTTTCCATAGGTTGTTGTTGTTGTTGTTTCATGCATCGGTGTACAAAAGCTCTGGGGTAGCCATTGCGGGTAAACAGATCAACCAGATAATTTTACTTGTAAGTTTAATCTTTAAGGCAGGGTGTCTTCGATGGACGTGGGTTTGTCTTAGAGTATTTTTCTTCCGTCGTTCGAGTTCTGATACATAATCAAATTTTCCACTTAACGATTCTTGAGAAATTTGTATTGGGTAAACTGTGCACCGACCTGCTTCAGGATGTACCTATCCTGATTGATGTCTTGTTTGTGAGCTAATTGGAATCCTAATTTTGTATATGTTCAAGAATTCACATACACGTGCAAAATTGGGGTTCCAATTAGCTTGCAAACAAGGCATCAACCAGGATAGGTACATCCTGAAGCAGATCTATATGCAGTTACCCATTACTCTATAGTCCCGAGCACAAACCAACAGCCCGACGGACGCGTGGCTCAAGGGTTAGAGCGTTTGCCTCTGGTCGGTGAGACGCGACTTCGAAACTTGGCTGTGGCGGCAATTTCCGCTGCTACACTAGAGTTGACGCCGATGACGTTCAATGAGGCAGAAAAGCGCTTTATGGATGTGCTCTGAGTTTGTCGGTAAAATACCAGAGATATTTGTCCTTATGTTCGCACAGTGAACACCATGCGAGTAAACATTACACAGTGCAAAATAGCGACATGCGAAAGATTGATACTTTTTGCTAATCGGCACTGACTCAGGTTTCGATACTGATTATCTTGTAGTCTGATCTGAAGTTATTTCATATATGACAGGATACGGGCTTTTTATCGAACTTCGTTCTGACCACTAACAAAAAATGTGTACTGTAGAACGTAACTACTCAAATTCTGTGCGTTTTTATCATTGGTTTTAACTGACTCTATAAATTCAAATATATTTTATAGAACACATGCAAAAACATTATTTTTTGCACTCCTTTGGTAGAAAATTTTGCCTTCTCTAATTGTTTTACTTAAACGGAGGGTAACTTTCGGTAATTAAAAGTTTCTAAATTGCCGAATATTTTGTAAACCCACTGACTGCTACACTCGAATTCAAGGTTTGCAAACTGCGCATTATGTGCATCCCGTTTAAGGAGAAGTAAGTTTATCGCCTAGAGTTTGAAGAAGAAGTGATATAGTTCTCATAAAATGTTGCAAAAGACGTGGAGCATGCTTTATACTGCATATGAAGCATTACAAAAGTGACGGATACGACGTTTTATGAACGGACACCTCACAATCGTAAAAATTCTCCTAATAAGAAATATTTCTTTAACTGAATGATACCCTTTATTCATGTAGAACATTTAAAGATAGCATAATTTTCTAACAAATAGGTACAAGAAATATTTCTTTCGTACATGTATTTCATAAAATATATTTGGATTTATAAAGGCAGTCAAAATCAAGGATGTAAACGCATACTATTTAAGTAGTTAGTTTTTGCAGTATGAACGTTTTGTGGGTGGTCAGAAAGAAGCTCGTTAAAAAGCCCACATCAAATCATGCTGTATATATCAGTGGCAGCATAAATAAATTGACCGATACGATGTATTATGAATTAACACCTGACAATCTTAAAAAAGCTAACAATCAGAAATTTTTTTAAAACCATAGGATACCCTTTCTTTATGTACATAATTTAAAGAAGGCGTAATTTTTCTACCAAAGGAGTACAAGAACTACTTTTTCGTGGGTTTTTTTATAAAATATATTTGCACTTATAAAGGCATGCAAACTCAATGATAAAAATACATACTGCGTAAGTAGTTAATTTTAACAGTACATACGTTTTGTTAGTGGTCAGAACAAAGCTCGGTAAAAAGTCCGTATCCTTTCATGACTTAAATAACTTCAGAGTAGTCTACAGGATAATCAGCATCACAACCTGAGTCAGTGCTGATTAGCGAATGAGTATCAATATTTCGCATATTTCGGCATGTTGCACGAATTCGGGCGCGTACTGTAGCTGCTGCGGCTGGCATTACAGATGCGAACTTTATGCGGTTATGCCGCTGATAACATTCAAACCGAATGCTTGCAGATGTTTTTTCCAGATTGCATATCACAACCTCAATGATAATAGGGTAAGTTGATCAGGAACACCCTTGCTGTTGATAGGGAGGAGATTAAGTGAGAGGCTAGCTAGGAGGAACAGAAAGAGAAAGTGAGAGAGTCGAGAATAGGTCGGAGGAACTTGATTGTTGGAAGAGTGCACAGATACTCGCAAGAGGACATAACTTTGCATGAGAAAAAAATGCATCGTTGAAGTTTGCCCCTCAAAAAAGGCCGTGAATATTTTGACGCAATGCACTCCGATGAACCATACATCAGCCGGCGTATCGAGTTTGCTGGAGTGTACAAACACCTCAAAGAAAGGTGAAAGAAACTACAGCCGACAACGATGGACCAACATGAACCACAAGTAGCGCTCACACCGGATGACCTGGCCTGACCCCAGACCCCGACAGTTGCAAATTAGCCATTACGCCATTACGACTGCTAATTATGTCCACCACGATATGAGGCAAACTGCAACTACCAATTAGCGCCCACACTAGATGACTATACAACTGTATCAGCACTCTGAACTGTCAACTGTTCTTCGCACATTTTTCTCGAGTCTGACGATGACCTGGGGCTCCAATGGCGAACATTTACTGAATAAATTTACTCGTTTTTCCAAAGGACGCCTTTCCTTTAAACTCACCCGTACCATCGGACCCGCAGCAAAGACTTCTGGGATTTGGTTTCCGTGTTATTTCCCATAATAAAAAACAGATACCCTCGTTTCCATTTGAAAGCCTATTTAAAGATGTATTGACGATTTACACTGTGTACGCTCTGAAGTAGGCCCCCGTGTGTCTAAGGAAGTATTTAACGACCACTCTATTTAGCACAAATTCCCGAAATAGAAGGATATTGTTGTCGCATCGGTTAATCTGGTCATTAATTAATTTTTAAATTTCAGAATTGCTGTTGA